GGGATGCAGTGAAGGGTGGTCCTGGAAAAATGTGGGATGCAGTGTGAAGGACGGTCCTGGGAAAATGTGGGATGGGATGCAGTGAAGGGTGGTCCTGGGAAGATGTGGGATGCAGTGAAGGGTGGTCCTGGGAACTTGAGAGCAAAGATGGAGCAGAATCTACAGTGTTAAGAGTTTGGCTAGAATGGCGAATTGGGTCAGGAAGAGGGAGGTGCTAAATCTGACTCTGGGTATCTCTGCTTCCAACACCCAAAGGGCTAGGAACATGGTTCAGAACAAAGCAGAGTTGGGAATGACCCAGAGAGGGGCAGAAGATGAGAGTCCCTCTTGGGACATGGTAAGATCTATTCCCTCTGTGATACTCAAATATCAGCAGTCAGCTGGCAACAGAATCTTAAAGTTCACTTGTGAGGTCAAGGGCTAGAGGAGACTAAGCGTCACTGACATTCAGGGGTAGGCGCTGAAGCAATGGGAGTGGGGAAGAGACGGCTCTGCAGTAGGCGATCCTCTCCCAGCGTATTTTGAACTAGTCTACTACGGTCTGCTGCTCCCGACAGCTCAGACACAGAGGACAGGGACGCAGCTCTCCAGTCTCAGGGTTTTGTGCTCCGGGAGGCTCTCTCTGTAAAAATGTCCCCTTCCCATCACCCATACCCTAGTTGAGAACCTAAAGGGTGAAGTGGCAATACAAATTTCTAAAGGAACATGTCAGAGGAGAAAATGTAATGGGCATGAAAACCACAAAGGAGACAAAAGCAAATCAAGAAAAGCTAATGAGAAAGATTAATAAATTAACTCTTAACCATCTCCTTTCTTCCTTTACTTTTGAACTTCTGTGCATGCCTGAGTTTGAACATTTGGCAAATATTTGCGACATTCAATACATGTATATGTATGAGTACACATCTGCACATTGGGTAGGTATCTGTATATGGATCCACATAACATGAACATGTATGTATCTAGGTGCACTTTAACATACACAAGTTCAGCATACGTATGACGTGAGCCTCTAGAAGGCAAATGGCACTGAGAGATCCTGGCACAATCCTTAACAAGCAACTGACTAGCCAATAAATAGTGCAACCTGACAGTGCTACGGAAAGGTCCACGCACACTAGCCACAGAGAGACCCTACAGCTCTGTGCATATGCCATGTGTGCGCACGCGTGCATGCATTCAAGTTTTGAACTTTAACCCAGTGTTTTCTGAACTGCATCAGTTAGGACACACGGGATAATTAATCCATTATTTTATTATTATTATAGCTAACAACATATAGATAGGAACAGTAGTCTCCTTTTGATCTATTAAAGCACTTTACAACTCCTTAATAAAGATATGAACTTCACACTAGTACCTACCTGGACTAAGATTTCTGCTAAATTATGCAGATGAAAGCACACAAGTCATGAATGAGCTAGAAGAGCCATAACTGTACATTCCAGAGCATAGTCTATTAGGAAGGGATTGTTGCAGCAGTCCTACTTGCTGCAGTTTAAAATGGAAGCATGTAGCAAGAAAATAAAACACAGTAAACTCCTACTACGCATGCTTCCCTACATGTGCATGCCTGTGGAGGCCAGAAGTTGACGTGTCCCTTGCTCTATCACTCGTGACCACATTTTTTGAGGCAGGGTCTCTCAGTGAGTTTAGAGATAGATCATCGGCTAAAAACTGGCTGGCCAGAGAACCCTCCTGTCTCTATTCACCCCCAGTTCTGAGGTTTAAGACACACGTTACACGCTACTGTCATTTGCATAGGTGCCGCGGATCGACCTTCGGTTCCTGTGTTTGTTGCAGGGCAGCAGCTTTACTGACTGCGCCATCTCTCCAGCGCCTATTATTCTAGTCTTAAATCTTGGACAGAATAATCCTGCCTCGGCTGTTCTACTGTTGAGTATGTACCCAGAGAACACCAGGGCATTCCTGCGCATCATCAAAGAGAGGTGCCCCTGCTTTGGCATACATGACTGGGAAAGTAGCTATGCAGATTTTTAGTTCCATTTACTAAAAAATAGTCATTTCTTTTTGAAACTAATAAGATATCAACAATGTGTCATGGAAAGGAAGTTTTGATTTACTGGTTGGGTTATTCATGTGACCTCTAAAGTCCAGTTTAGAAACACAACAAAGTCATAAGACTCTAAAACACCACTGATGTTTCACAGAAACTTTCGTATGATAGAAAGGCATTCTGATGGGTATTTTACATTAATTTTTAGTCAACCTTATATTCAGTTCATTTTTAGCCGTTCCCAACAATAGCCATCCACCATCCATGCAGCTGCAACACAATGAGAGGCAGAAACGTGAGCAACTTGGAAACATTAGGACAGGAACAGCCACCCCAACGGACACAGACGGGTGATCGGGTGCATGCCGAGCTTCAGCGATGAGCGTCAGAGAATGGCTCTGACCGGAAAACACTGCTGACATTCTCACTGGGAAAGCAGACACCCAAGTCAGACCAGGAACAAGGAATGTGTGAGATGACTAACCATTTGCAGAACACAAGCCAAGCTGGGAGCATGTGACAGAGGACACACAGGGAGATAGGTTCTGCGTTGCAAGCAATGTTCCAAAACCAAAGAGAAACTCAAAAGGAGGGGAGAAAAAAAGAGAATACCTTAAGATCTCTTCTTTCCAGATGCAAAAGTTCAGCCCCTCTGATGTCATGACGGATGAAGATTTCTTTGTACTCTCCCAAATTGAGCAGATCCAGCCAAGCAGCAACTTCCTCTGTGCCCCAATTCTGAACTACCAAAGTTAAGAGCAAAACCCCCTTAATTTCTACATGCGCGATGCAGTCACAAAGCAGAGGTTGGCCACAGAAGATGCAAGACAGACAGCAACAGCGCTAGCAGAAGGGCAGGTGGAAGGCGGTGCTTCGCGAAGCTGCCCTCCCCTCCCCATGCAGGTTACACGGACCGCCAGCGGATGTGACTGTACAAGGATGTGCGCCATCTGCACTCACGCCTTCAGCTGCAGGCCAGCTTCTCAGCTAAACTATACAGTGTGCGTCAGGGCACTAATTTTGCACCATTAGGATCAAGGATGCAAAAATCACAATGAGCTCTGATGCTTTGCCTTCTTAAGACCACGGGTGAAAATGCTTAGTTAGAAATGAGCTCCAAGTGTCAATTAAAATTAGAGTATGATCTGGGCTACTTGGTTCTACACATTCTTCTACTTGAGGTCTTGCTGACTTCAAGTGTTGCCTTCACTGACTCTACTGTTTTTGACAATTCGAACAATAAATGGCTTCAGTAAATGACTAGAGATCACTTTAACATCATTTAAAAACTGTTCAGACTGCTAGCCAAGACTAGTTGAATTATACTACTTTTCAGTATGGATAATCGTTTTTTTTTTAAACCATTTATTCAATGTGAGTTAGCATAATAAAACCCTATATATTTTTTTGGCTGTGTTTGGTTTTTAAGCACACCTAATAGTCATTCCTGTAGATATAAGGTTTTATATCACTTTTTAAATAAAGACCACAGGGATAACTCGGAAGAATTAATGAACTTCTTCTAAAAATTTATAAAGTGATTTCATTGTGAAAGGCAGATCTAGACGTAGATCTAGACAAGGTGCTGGCACAGAGGGCATCAAGTTAAACTCTGAGGGAAGGGGACCAGGAAAGTAGCAGGGTACAGAAGGAGCGGGCACCGGCATTTTCAAAGGGTGGAGCGCTGGCCTGAAAACCGGGAAAAGAGGATCTGTAACTTTAGTGAAAAAACATATTTAGCAGGCTGAGTAAAAGAACATGTCTATATCCCCCTCATCAACACGATCTGGATGTTTAACTCTGAGAAGAAAATGAAGTTACACACTGATGTCTGAAGCAGCTGCTGAGAAGATAAAGACCCGTCTGAATGGACACACTGACTCAACTGGACAGAACAGAAAGAACTAGTGACCACCTTGTCTTCTCATTCCACTTGGAACCACACATTCTCATCAATTGTTGGACGTGTTGGGTATGATATGACTTGCATGGTTCAATGTAGCGTTTTAACCAAAGTGTACAATTCAGTGGTATTTAGTATATTTGCAGTGCCAGGAAATGCTCACCGCTACCTAGTCCCAGAGCACCCTCTCATCCCCTCACTGATACTTTTTCAGTAAGTTATTTTTTTTCCTCCACCGTGGGGCCACCTACCAGGCTGTGAACTTGTTTTCTGTTTCTGAGCCTTTTCCTTTTTAAACTTTGGCACGATGCGAAAGACTGTGCTTTTGCTGTTTCTCTTGGTGCAATCCATTGGAGGTTCCTGTTCAAACCATGGGGAGAAAAAAAAGTCACGGCCTTAGGAGTTACGGGAAGAAAAGAAAACCCCACTTTATCACTAGGTATAAAATAAAAACGGTGTCCTAATTAGGGTTTTTTTCTTGCTGTGATAAACACCATGACTGAAGGGTTTGCATTTCATCTCATACTTCCGTATCACAGTCTATCATCTGTGTAAGGGAAGTCAGGGTAGGAACTCAAGCAGGGCAGGAACGGGGGAGAGAGGGGGACAGGGGCTGAAGAGGCCATGGAGGAGCTGCTTACTGGCTTGCTCCTCATAGCTTGCTCAGCCTGCTTTCTGACAGAACCTGAGAACACCAGCCCAGGGGTGGCACCACCCACGAGGCCTGGGCCCATCAATCACTAATTAGGAAATGCCCTACAGGCTTCCCCACAACCCAACCTGGTAGGGGCACTTTCCCAATTGAGGTTCCCTCTTCCCAAACAAGTCTCGCTTGTGTCTAGGTGACATAAAACTAGCCAGCACAAATGGGTTTGGAAGACTCACCATGTACTGCTCTCCTAACTGCCCATGCTCACCAAAGAGCCCTTCCTCCCTCCCTTAGCAACCAAACATTTCAAAGTAGTATTCAAAATTCATTTCCGTGAAATGTCTCTTCTTCAAAAGTCAGTTCAAACTCTGAAGTCTCACTGCACACATTCATCAGCAGGCTGAGTTTTCCATACCTCGTCCTCATTGGGGCGGAGGATGTAGTAAAGCCAGGGGATCTCCGTTAACTTCTGTAGCTCCACCTCCACAGAGTGTAAGGCACTGGATACCAGCTCTTCATGGGGAGATTCCAACTGCTAGTCACCGGCAGGGGGAGAAACCAAAACAAAGCGAGACTCAGCAACCAACTTCATGGAACAGCATGGCCACTTAGAGCATCCTTCCTTCTGATAATAAGCTGCTGGATTCCTTCTACCTCCCGGGCCTGACATGTGCAATTGGAGCTGAATAAGTTCCCCTCCAAAAGTGCTGCTTTCGGTGTTCCTTGGACATGACGCCCTTCCCTTCCCCACTGCAATTTTCCCCTTCACCGCTTCCAAGCACATTATCTGTGAACTGTCACATACGGGTCAACATTTTTATGACTCACAGACTTTGCTTCATGAAAAAAAATGACAGTTTTTAAAACTCAAATACCTGCCATCTAAAAAAACACATCACAAAAAATAATCTGAAAAGTCAAAAGAGCAGTTTAAAGGGAAAATGAATCTCAGAAAAAATAGTGATGAAGAATTATTATAAAAATCAGTATAAAGCTGAAAGCTAAGGGGCTGGTAACCTGGAGCCGGATGTAGATCTTTAGAGAGAATATAACAGCCTTTTGTTATTCGTGATAACTAAGCAAAGGCAGTTATTACAGTATACAGAATTAGAAGGCAGTAGGTGAGATTCCAGTCCTGAGTGGTTACTAACTATACAAAGTTAGGAAGGGTACTGAGTTCAGGCACCTTAGTTTCCTCTGTGTTAGAAACAGCACAGCATGACTAGAACATTTCTGAGGGCTTTTTCTGCTAACCAGTACCTTTACAGACCATTTTAAAACTCCACAGTACCTACACCGATGTTCGCGGAATAACAGAAAGGAAAGTTCTGAGATTATGGTTTTTTTTTTAAGCATCTTTTTGTTGTTGACTCTCCGTGATACTGAAAGTATCTCCCAGTAGTAAATAAAATAGTGAGATTTTTCACTCTACTGTATGACATTTACCATTTTCCTTTTAGTATAAGGAAACTGATTAGATGATTTTTCACATTTGTTCTGGAAGTAAAATGAAAAATAAACTTTAGTTGTTCTCAAATACAATAAACTACTGTAATACCACGATTGCTAAAAGTTTGGGTAAATTTTACTGGGATATATTTCAAACCAAGCATCCACATTTGAGGACCATAGAAAATTAGAAATGGAGGGGGATATTCTTATATTTTAACATTATATAACCACATTAGTGCAATACATTAGAGCAAAGGAGTTATTTTTTGATGTAAAGGACAAATGCTTCTATTTCTTAACATGAATGCCCTTAAGAGACACAAAGAAGCACTTCTCCATTTAAAAATTGGGATCTTAATCACAGTCCACAGGACTTCTGATGGGCTTATTGTGGAAAAATCAATAGAAGATTCTGGTAAACAAAAGCAGTGTCAACGATAGCCAAGAAGGGAGTAACCAATGCTTCTTCCTCCCAGTTCTGGATAGTAGGAGTGGTAACAGCCACCCTGTGGCCTGGGAAGCAGTTTCGGGTCCCCAGGAGGTGGTGAAGAGCATTGGAGGCTCCAGGGGCAGCATCTTGTTGGATCAGAGCCACAGCCCCGCAGGGAGTCCAATTCCCCAACCCACCGCTTCAAGGAGGATGATGTTAGTGACTTCCATCATTTTATTTAGGTTTATATTTGCCCAAAGAGATGAAACTACTATGAGAATAAATGCTCTGAGATTATTTAAAGGAATACAAGGAAGGGAGAGACAGCTAATGCCTTCGGCCTTCCACACACCTAATGCCACAACCCAGCTGTAGATGGGGAAAGGATCCAATGTCAGAACATTCAAAAACCATCTGCGTGTTTTTACAAAAAGGGCTGGTCTGTATTTATGCTCCAGGCCTGTGGGCTTTAGCCAGATTCACATTTTCATATGCTTGATTTCCAGTTAAAACAAAAAACAGTGCTTGAAACACAATGTTTATAGAGCAAGTCTGAATGGTCATGCCAACCATATTTTCAATATTCGCTCGGAGAATGAAACTGACTTCTCCTAAATGTGTGCACGCATGAAGAGCTGAGGGATGTCTACTTTCCTTTAAACAGCTCACATCCCTCAAAGTTGACCATGGACAGAGGAGTGGCATGAAAATATGGCGGCCCGAATCACATCTCTAAAGTTTAGCATGGCTTTCCAGAGGCAGAAGTTTGGCCGAAAGGGAGGTCAAGAACGGAGGTCAGGGGTCTGCTCAATGCGCGCACTCACTAAGGAAGCCAGGCTCAGATGTTTAGCCCATCATCTGCACTACTGTCACAGCTAGCTTCGGGGGATAACTTGACACAAGCCTAGAGCCACAGGAGGAAAAGGGACCTCAAATGAGGAATTCCCTTCAACAGACTGGCCTGCGGCATGTCTGTAGTGCATTTTCTTAATCAGTACTGAAAGAGGGCCCAGCCCTCAGTGGGTAGCACCATCCCCGGACAGCTGGCTCTGGGCTGTTAGAGAAAGGGCCATTGTTGCACGTGAGCAAGGAAGCAAACCATTTTCTTCTATGATCTCTGTTTCATTTCCTGTCTCCAGAATCCTGCCTGACCTCCCTCAGTGGTGGATTAGGACCTGAGAGTTGTAAAATGGAACAATCCCTTTCCTCTTTAATTTGCTTTGGGTCACAGTGTACCACAGGCAAAGAAGCCAGCTAGGACAGCTAGCAATTACTTTTCCTTACCAAAGGAACCCGGCCAACGAGCAAAGATTCTGTTTCATTATATAGCGCCTTGACATTGATGGCTATTTCAGTGGCGGTATCTCTTGTGAGGCTCTAGAAAAGAATAACAAAGACATGTATTTGCACAGTAAATGAGGATTCCATCACCAATAAATCCTGTAAATCTTATTCTCATTAGAATGACTGTTAAAAAATACCAAAATTCTACAACAAATTGATTCAAATTTTCATACACAGGTTTGTTAGTATGGTTATTTCTGTTAATTAGTAAATCAAAGAATCAAAAGGATGACCTAAAATGTATATATTCTCAGGCTCACAACTCCTACTACAAGTTCATATATGATGAAACCCAAATATACATAAATGTTCCCATAAAAGTTAAATCAAAAAAATCTTTTTTTTTTTTTTTTTTGGTTTTTGGCTTTTGGTTTTTGTTTTTTCTGCCTACTTTTGGAGTCCTGTCATGGAACTAGCTCTTGTAGACCAGGTTGGCCTTGAACTCACAGAGAACAACTCAGTGAAAAATGACACTCAGTATCAGAACACAACCAAGAAATGACTGCACTTCTTCAGTCAAGCGCATGTAGGTTTGCCCTTTAGGATCCAGGGGAGAGGGTGAAGGAAGAGGAAGAAGGAAAGACGACAACAGACGGAGGGCGTCAGCCCATGAGATGACTCAGTAAGTCAAGGTGCTTGCCACCTGGCCTGCCAACCCAGTTCACTCCCCAGAACCCACGTGGTGGAAAGAGGGAACAAGCTCTTGCAAGCTGTGTTCTGACCTCCATCCCCTGGTGGGAGGTAGTTCTCTGAGGTACAAGGCAGCCAAAGGTGAGCCTGAGAAGCAAGCAGTAGGCTTTGTCCCTCCTTGGCTTCTGCTTTGTCTCCTGCCTGAGTCACTAAGCTAACTTCGTGACGGAGACATGTAAGTCAAATAGACTCTTTCCTCCTCAAGGTGCTTTAGGTTATTAGCATTTTAATCGTAGCAACAGAAAGACACTACCGTCTTTCACAAGGAGGATTTCTGCAGGATGGTAAGTAGTTGAAATACCAAAAGAATCTGTGGAAAGAGAATTTACCATTAAATCCTCACCTCCGGGAAGCGTGGGTTGGCTTTGTTCAGGGCGTGCGAGCATGCATTTACTGCATGAGCCAGTTCCTGCTCCAGCAGACAGTGAATCGTGGCTGCATCACAAATCCTAAAAGTAAAGATGAGACCAAATAAACAACTCGGGGCACTGCTGAAGACTCGCCTTGAGAAGCGTCTCCGCTGGTCTGGAGACAGCAGTGCTGAAAAGCGAGAAAGGCCACAAACACAGGGTGGCTTTCAAGTCTCCAGGACATCCGCTTGCTAGTTGGTTTACTGCGGTGCTGGGTTGACCGCAGGGCCTTGCCCATACTAAGCTGGCGTTCAATCAGTTTCACTCCAGTGTGGAAACTGCAGATGTGACTGACACACCAAGGGACAACTCATTATATTTACTACCTACTTGCTGTTTTATATAGAATTTAATGATCACAGCCAATGATGATAAATTTTCCCAAACCTGCAGACGAAGACATGGAGGCTCACAGAGATCAAATATATATACAGAGCCAAAAAACAGCAGGCTGAGAATTCACCACTCCCCCTTGGAAGTTAAGTTAGGTGAGGAGGGGTCAAGGATCTCGTCACAGCCTTTCTTCCACTCTGAATAGTGCTGTTGTAGTGATTTTTATATCTTTGTTTGTTTGTTTTGTTTTGGAGACAGGGTTTCTCTCTATGTAGCCCTGACTGTCCTGGAACTCACTCTGTAGACTAGGCTGGCCTCGAACTCACAGAGATCCTCCTGCCTCTGCCTCCCGAGTGCTAGGATTAAAGGCGTGCGCCACCACTGCCTGGTTGATTTTTAGATCTTTTACATTCATCAAACTCTTTTTTAAAGGTGTCTTTCTTTTCTGTCTAGAAAGATAACTTATGTGTGGTTCTAAACCTTTGTGTGTGTTCCCAGACTTCTTCTAACATCCCATCCACAGTGAGAATTACAGGACAACATGTAAGTGGGTAGAACAGAAATACTAATGAAAAGTGCACTGTGTGGCGGGGCAAATCCATCATCGCTTTCCCAGCTATGTAAGATACAGATTACAGAGACCGGCCAAAACTCCAGCGGAAGCACTTTACCTAGTGATGAGTTCCTCTGCGGCCTGGGAGCAGAGCCGCATCTGCGACACTTCTTCTGTTGCCAGGTCGGCGGCGGGATGGATGTACAGGTTGGTTCGAAGAACTGGCTTGCCCGCGTCACACTTCTGCTTGTCTTCCCAAGACTTCAGAGTGCTTTCAAAGGCCTATTTAGATCAGGATTGCAAGGAACAGTTAAGTTAGCGCTCAGAGACTGACAGAACTAACTGATTAACCATATATCTGTATTTGTATACACATATGTATATATATGTTGTGTATATAGATACAGATGTGTGTATATATTCATGTATGTATACTTGTATGTACGTATATATGTGTATTCATGTGTATGTATATACAGATATCTGTACATATATTTATGTATATGCTTATGCATGCATGTGCATATTCACATGTATATATGTATGTATATATGTACAGATATAGATATATGCATATATATTCATTTATGCATATTTGTGCATAAGCATATATGTGTATTTAAGTGTGTATATACAGCTATAGATATATGTATATATTCACATATATACAAATATAGATATATGGTTAATAAGTTAATTATTAATAATAATATATACATACAGCTATCGATAAAGAGATATATGAAAGCTAGGTATTACATGAATGACCCTGAAACTCAGAGTGATTTGCTATACTCTAAAACCTCATTAAATTAGTGAAAGGGATTTTTTCAAGTTTTCAATGTATCATGATAAAGATGATACCTCATGTATCATGATAGATGAAGATGTTTATACCATTGATGTTAACTGAGCAAAAGATATCTTACATTTGTTTATGTTACAGAATATTACTTTAACTATGTTAAGGTGAGTAACATTTGTTTCTGTTGCTTTTGTTAGCCATGTACAGATGTGTTACATTTGTTTGTGCTGTATTTGTTTAATTACAGTTGCATTTGTTTCACCTTGCCTGTCTGAGGCACCTGATTGGTGTAATAAAGAGATGAACAGTCAATTGCTAGGCAGGAGGGGTGGGCAGAGAATAGAGGAGGAGAAATCTAGAAGAGAAAGGGAGAGAAGAGAGTGTGGGAGAAAGAGAGGGATATGCCTGGCACTAGAAGCCAAGCAGTCAGCTAGTCATAGAATAGAACCCACAGATGGCAGGTGGTGGTGGCACACGCCTTTAATTCCAGCACGTGGGAGGCAGAGGCAGGCAGATCTCTGTGAGTTTGAGGCCAGCCTGGTCTACAGAGTAAGTTCCAGGACAGGCACCAAAGCTATACAGAGAAACCCTGTATCAAAAAAGAAACAAACAAACAAACAAACAAAAAAACAAAAAAAACCCCACAACAACAACAACCACCCCCCCCAAAAAAAATAGAACCTACAGATGTAGAAAGGTAAAAAGCCCTGAGGCAAAACGTAGATAATGAGAAACCACTTAAGTTCTAAGAGCTAGTGGGACAAGCATAAGATAAGGCCAGGTATCCATAATTAAAATAAGTCTCTGTGTCATGATTTGGGAACTGGTTGGTGGCCTAAAAGAAAGTCTAGTACACATTGCAATTAATAAGCAGCACTCATGCTTCGATCTTTATTCAACTGGTGATCAACCATAATTTTATTTTACTCTTTTACTAGATACCATGGATAGTGTCAGTCATATTTGTCAAGGGCTGACCTTAATTAGAAATACTTTTTGGGGGGAAATCAAACTATAGAGATGGTTAGAGAAAGATCAACAGCAGCCAGGACTAAAGGTGAGGAAGAAAGGAAGGAAAGAAGAAAAGAAAGAAAGGAAGGAAGGAAGGAAGGAAGGAAGGAAGGAAGGAAGGAAGGAAGGAAGAGAAAGAATGAGAATGTATGTGTGAGAGGAAGTGTATGTGTGTGTGTGTGTGTGTGCGCACGCACATGCGTGCGCTGTGTGCATGCACGTGCATGTGTGTATTTGAGACAGTCCACCATATAGCTCTGGCTGTTCTGGCACAGAGTATGTAGACCAGGCTGGCTTGAGCTAATAGAAGGTCGACCTGTCTCTGCCTGCCAGTGTTAGGATTAAAAGAGGGTGCCACCACATCCGGCAGTTAACACTATATTATTAGATATACTGCAGAAACTGCACCACTAATACAAAATATCAACAATAGGGATGCATGTGTGCTGAGGAAAGAAATATACAGAAATAGAATTAGAGGTCTATGTACTTTCTGCTTAATTGCTCGGTAAACCTAAAAACCGTAAAAAAAAATTATTTTAATTTAAAATAAAGCTGAGTACACCTTTGCTCATGGTTAAAGCTTCAATGAGCTCAGAGCTGCACACGTGCTAAATGGCATACTTAAGCGACAATCTAAATTCCTCTCAATGCTTCCTATAATTTTTAACTTTCGACTTTTAAGTTTACAAAACTCTCGAAGAGTATGAAGGACAGAAAGAGGGCTCCATGGTGACGGACATGCACAAGTCTTGCAGAGGACCTGGCACTCACATCACATGGCTCACCATCACTCCAGCTCCAGCGAGGTGCAACGCCCCCTCCTGACGTGTGGGCACTGCACTCACACACAAAACACTCCCCACGACGTGCGCATGATAGAAGATCACCGTGAAAAGACTGTTACGTACTCGGTCTCTCGTTAGCATCTGGGCTCTGTTTTTGTGCACAATTTTGATGATCCCTGGAGGCTGCACCCACGCTTCACCATCCACCTGCACAGGGACTCCCTCATCACCAAATATAGTGATTTTTACTGTACGGCACTGAAATAAAAGCCAATATGTTACTGGAGAATACAGATCAGCCTGAGCGTCTCTGTGGAATGGAACGCTAGGCTTTGCCATGGCAATGACACACTGACATTGACTGACAGACAGACAGACAGTACTTTACGGAAGCGTATCAGCACAACTGTCCTCAGAGGCAGCTTCCTTCCATGCTCCATGACCCAGAAAATACAGTGAGCTGTGATCTGGGACACCAACCTGCGCTATCCGGTGATGCTGCAGTTTAATGACCCTGGACACAGCCATCTGCACACTGTCAAACACGGCAACGACTTCCAGAATCTTGTCATCGAATGATGGCGCAGCAAATATCTAAGAGGGGAAATCGGTGATGTTCATTTCCACCCATGGTTTAGATACAGGGGAACCCCGAACCCTGCCACACAGACACCAAAAACCTACAAACAGTGAGGAGGAGGTAAGTATCGGAAAGTAACAGTCCAGGGAAGTAATCACCGAAGACAGCTTAACATAAACATCCATCCAAGAAGGGTTTCAGCATCCACAGCGTAGTCAAACGTCTCATTCAGCACTCTCTAGACCAGCACATTTCTAATTACTTCATCTTGATATGAATGTGGCAAATACTTTACAAATAATTGATAGACACTGTGATAAGATGACATATAATTTTTGAAAATCTACAGGGGCCCAAAAGTTGATGCTGATGAACACACAAACCGCGATTCTATGCACTCAGCAAGCTTTAAAGACAGTCTTTCAAGGTGTTCTAGGCAATATACATTGGTGCTGTTAACTTTTTTAAATATTTATTTTTATTTTTTAATTATAGGCATGTGGGGGTACCTGTATGTCAACGTGTGCAAGTGAATACAGGTGCCCGGAGAGTTTCACTATATATTATAAATAATCATGACTGAGAAATACTCACTCTAAAAGAGTATCCTAACTAAAACTTGCATTAGGAATATGAGCCCACAAACTTGCTGATGCTGATAATTTCTGCTTTCAGAGCACCTGGAGTCAAGCTGCTCCTCTGTTAGCAACTGTGGAAACGCAGGGATCTGAGTTCTGATCTCTGGCGTACACACGTGTGCATACACACAGAAATGAGGAAGGAAGGAAATAAGGAAGTCATGCGGATATTAATAAAATAATGACTATAAAGTCCTTCTGAGTATTTAGTGGGTGTTTAGGAGCGGCGACTTTATTTTACTCTCATTGACTTCACACCTTTAGACTATCTGAGTGGTGCTGTACTGGCAAAAAGAATGGGTGAGCTGGTTGTGATACCTCAGCAGAACCAGAACCTAGCCACAGCATGGGCATTACCCGTGTACGATCATTTAAGCCTCAAACCGAAATCAGGCTAAACGTCTTCAAGACCATGGCGATACATCACTTTCTGTGGTATGCCCAATTCAATACCTGTGCTCTTTTCCATTCTTCGGAGAGCAGCTGTGTTTGTACCACACAAATGTGACTGTGCTTTTTTTTTTTTCCCGTAATACAAGGAAATACACAAAAGAAACAGAAATAGCGCCACGCCTTGCCAGGTGTGGTGGTGCACACCTTTAATGCCGGAACTCTGGAGAAACTTCAGAGTGTATTCATGAGAGAGAATGACAGAAGGCGCTATGAATTCCACCTCTCACCTTCCAAAGATTGTAAAACATTTGTCAGGTAAACACTGGTATGAAAATTGTATCACCAAGCACATTTTAAAACATTAGACATTGTAGCGGTGTTTATGACCGCTGAGGAAACGACGCTAGGCCCACTGTGCTGCTACTTACATCGTCCTCTTTGGTCCCGCCCCAGAAGTTGGTGCCTCCTGCGTAGCTAGGGATGTTCAGCACCGCTATGCCTTGTAAGCTGGGTAGAGGAATGTACTGCCCGTCACACTGCAAGGGAAATGCTTGGAGGTTAGAGCACCTACAATCCCAGCACTTTGGAGTGGACACAGGAGGACCAGAGGGGTTCACGGCCATCCTCATCTATGCAGCAAGTTCAAGGGTAGCCTGAGCTACATGAGATCCTATCTCAAAAATAAAAAGTTTAGAGGTCAGACAATAAGAGTAAAACTGTTACTTCAGGGCACAGGGACAGGAATGTGTCCGCAGTGCTTGCCTTGTTGTTATTGTTGTTGCTGTTGTTGTTGTTTTTAGACAGGGTTTCTCTGTGTATCTCTGGCTATCTTGGAATTTACTCTGTAGACCAGCCTGGCCTCAAACCCAGACAGATCTGCCTGCCTCTGCCTCCTGAGTGCTGGGATAAAGGTATATGCTACCACCACCTTTCTTGTAAACACACTCTTCCACATCACAAAGGGTGAGATAAAATATAACATGTCTGTAGCTTTCTTGTAGATAAACTCTTAAATATTACAAAGACCTTTATCTTACTTTTTTCCTAATTAAAAAATACTTTTAATTTTTTATAAAAAAGAATAGATAATTAAAAACAAAAGCTGGACAGTAGAGACACACACTTTTAACTCACAACACTAGAGAGGCAGAGGTAAGCAGATCTCTGTGAATTCAAGGTCAGCCTGACCTACAAAGCTAGCTCCAGGACAGCCAGGGTGATGACAAAGAGAAACTCTGCCTCAAAAATCCAAATGAAAAAAGTGTAAATAAAGAAGAAATTTCTATGAAAACTGAACTAAAAATATGTTTTCCTGTCTTTCCTCACATATCAGGCAGTACTTTTTTTTGAAGCTCCTTCAGATCACTTCTAAAAATTCTAGTCCCATGGTTCTCAACCTTCCTAATCCCCGTGAGTCTTTAATTCAGTTCCTCATGTTGTGGGAACCCCGTCCATAAAACTATTTCATCGCTACTTCATAGCTGTAATTTTGTTACTGTTATAAACGGTAATGTAAACATCTTACATTACAGTATGTTGTCATGTAAATGGTTTTGGCAACCCCTCTGTAAGGCTTGTTCAACCCCGAAAGGGTCACAACCCACAGGCTGAGAAATGCTGTTCTAGCCTGTATTGCTGAGGCCTCTCTGTGCTTGGTGTAGGCACCCCGCTGAACACAAGCCCTATAGGTGCAGCTCTGACCCCACCCATCTCACTCAGAGCTCTCACAACTGGGTACTCGCCAGGGTTTGGTAACTAACCAGCAACCAACGAAAGTGAAAGCTGGAGAGGGCTGATGAGATGGATGGGTGGGTAAAGGTGCTTGCCAACAACCCTGACAACCGGAGCTCAATACCTTGAACACACACGCATAGGAAACGAACAAATTCCTCAAATCGTCCTCTGACCTCCCCATGTGGACTGGAACACTGGCACAGATGCAACACACACACACACACACACACACACACACAAATTTTAATCAAAGCTGTGTTGTTTATGTAGATAGATGCAAAGGCAAGGAAAAAAACCATGCATACTGAATAGTATTGTACACTCCCACCCTCTAATTCAACTAAATGAAAATTAAATTACCACTTAGGAAATGCAGCTTTGACTATTACAGAGTAGAAACAAAACTAGCATTTCATAAATGTTGCTCCTCGAATGCATTTTCATTTTTGTTTTATAATATGTATTCATTCTTAAATAAAAACAGAGATACTGATACTGAGATGGACATAGGCAGTTGAGGAATGAAGTGTCTGAAGAGACAGTTACTCTGAGTGTATACTATCTATAAAGCACCAACCCAACAATGCTGCCCCCTAAAAATGTATGCTTTATATGTCAAGAATATTTCAAATTATTTTAAAACTTTCCTTATAATGATCATATTTAATTATTTAAACAAGGCCATATAAGGTTTTTCTACATGAACATTGATATGAGGCTAAGCCTTCATTTCAAAAGTTCTTGTAGATACCATATGTAAAAGAGATGCTGTGTCTCCAGTTTAGTACTTCTTACACTAAGACATGGTCATCAAAAATGACACTTTAATGTTCAACCAAAATTATTGCTAACCTTTAAAACAAATGAAAACTCTCTGCACCCCAGCTTTTACAAAGTAAGCAACCGAGATTTCCTATTTCCCCACACGTCTATTCACTGCCACGTGCATTTCTTAGAATCATTTTCTTTAGCATTCACCAAGGAGCTTAGTTCTCATTTGAAGATCCACCCTGCTTCCTAGCGCTCAGGAGCACACCTGGCACTCGGCGTGTACTCTGTGTACAGCTGGAAAGGAAATTGGTATTAATCATTTAGCGGAACAAAGAACCCATTAGTAAAACCAGCTACAGTTCCTTGAGAAAGAGCTATTTAAAGTCACATGACTAACTTAACGAAGGTATTTAAAAATGCTATTTTTGCAAGTAGAAAATAAGTTTGTCTTAGTTTGCATTCTTAAGACTGGCTCTCACGCTGGAGCCCAAACTAGCATTTGCAGCAATCCTCCTGCCTCAGCCAGCCCCACAAATACAGGATTACAGGCATGTACTACCAAATGCAGTGTAAATTTTTTATTTTTTTTAAACCAGGAGAGGGTTGGGGCTGACGAGGTGGTTCATCCTTTAAGAATACTGAAAGCTTCTAGAGAATTCAGGTTCAACTCCCTGAGAATTCAAATCCAGGGAATTCAACACCTCTTCTGGTTCCCACAGGCCCTGCATGTATGGAATACAGAGACATACAGACACACAACGATACACATAAAATATTTTAAGAATCTGAAGAGGTGCTAAAAGGTTTTACAAATGAATAGAGCTTGCTTGCATCCATTAATGATGGACATTCCCATACACACAGTTGAATTTAACACATGTGCACTGAACACAAACCCCAGTGTTATGAGTATAATCTCTATTCCATTGAGTTCATGAGGAAACATAGGCAGTATGGATTTGATAAATTAAGGCTACGTGTCTGAAAAATGTCTGATGTTCTGGAAAAACTCAGAAAAAAATCTGTGAAAAATAAGAGGGTAGGAGAATCTTTAAAGAGTGGGAAAGCGGGTTGGAGAGATGGCTTAGTGCTTAAGAGCACTGACTGCTCTTCCCGAGGACCCAGGTTCAATTCCCAGCACCCACATGGCAGCTCACAACTGTCTGTAATTCCAGTTCAAGGGGACCTGACACCCTCACACAGACATACATGTAGGCAAAGCACCAATACACATGAAGTAAAATAAATAAATTATTACAAAAAAAAAAAAAGAGTGGGCAAGCCTGTGTCAGGGAAAGCAAGCTTAGGATTATAGTAGCATTCAGAGACGGGGAAAAGGGCAAGTTACAGCTGTGAGTCAGAACCCAGGCAAGTGAGCAGGCAGAAATATTTGGTTCTCATTGCCTTTTAAAATAGGAGAGAAAAAGCTCTAGGTAAGATGTCTTCTTTAAAATTTCAGCCACAAAGACCATTTCCAGTGACGAAGACCATTCAGCCGCCAAGGCTGACAGGCAGCCATTCTCTTTCTCATTTCTCGTACAGCACTCTGGAAACTCACATGAGACACTCAACACTTATTACAAAGCAGCCTTTGGATCATGACATCAGCTATGGGCCAAGTAAGCATTCTGAGCATGTGCCGGGCTGGCAAGCCCTTGATAAGTTGTTTAAAAAGCTAGGCGTATTAAATGTTTTTGTAGTTGTTTTGCTTGCTTTTTTGTTTGTTTGTTTGTTTGTTTTTAAGAATGGGTCACTCTGTGAGGCTGTGGCTGGCTTGAAACGCCAGACCTGAATGTGGGTAATTAACCTGCTTCCATAACAGGAGAGTTGGGGCTACAGGCATGTGTTTTTTGGGTCCCCCCTCCCCCACCTATTTATGCTCAGACTAATTTATGATCTGTAGGAAGCAGAGGAGGCAGTCGGTAAGTGAATGTGTGTTGTCAACAGAGGCACAGCCATGTCAAGGACCTGGTACCCTTGGGCTCAGAGGCATAGGAAAGGCTCAGAAGGCATGGCCTTCCTCGGTACACCAAGTGCTAGCTACTAGAGACAGAATGTGCAGAAAATGTCCGCCATAGCTTTCTGCCCCCTGGATGTTTATGGCCTGAAGGCGGCACACTTAGAGCATGTTCTTACCAAGGTTAGTGAGCCTGTCTCCTGAATTCAGCGGTTTACCATAAATCCCGCCTCCTTGGTTACCATTATGGGATAACCCTGCCCCCCTGTTCAGCTCTATACCCTGCTACACTCCTGGAATGCTGAATTTCTCCTGCTGATAGACCAGACCAACCGACCCCAGTTTTCTGTCCAAATGTCTGTCTGTCTGTCTGTCATTTTTCATTCCCTTGTGCCACAATCAGGTCTGGAGCCATGCTGGAAATTCCACTCATCATAAATTGAGGAGCAGCATCTCCTTATCAAATTATCGATTCCCTACCCACTCTGCCTCGACGCAGTGCCAGCTACTGTTACACACTACTGTTACACACTACTGTTACACACTAAGGTTAACAACAAAGATTACAGCTCTCTACCTGTTCTTAAGAAGTGTGGCCAACTGGGGACATGGATCAAAAACGAAGGAACACATACGATACAATACAATACAAACCTACGAGAACACCTAAATTGACATGCAGCAGGGCTGTGGAGGACAGATTTGTAAAAGGTGAACCTTCCTGACTTTGGAGCTGCTCACCTGGTAGACTCTATTTTAATTTTAGAAACAACCACAGATCAAAGCAGTTGAATGCCTGGTGATATCTTTTAGAGTGGAAAGGACCAATGGGCTTATCTTCCAGACATTTAGTTGGTAGTGACTGGATCATCTATTAGCCTACACCCCAGTGTTAAGACAAGAACAAGACAACAATACTCAGTTTAGTCTAGTTAACCAAAGCATTTAAGACTTACGAGTTATAAATTTCTCTGTACTAGTGGTACACTTTAAATTAAAAAATGCTCTGATTAAGAAATGCTCTGACCACAAAAGGAAATGAGGTAGAAAACATATGCCCTGGACCAAGCATGAATGAAAAGGGGTTTACAGTAATTGATAGACTCCAAGGAATCCCAACCATCTTTTCTCTGCTACTATAAGAAATTAAATAACTTTTGTTGTCTGTTTCTACTTAAATTAGAAACAGATAACACTGTCCAAAAAAAAAAAGCTGTCAAAATCCTATTTTTGTTATTTTGCCTTTTCTTTTTTCTTTTCTTTTCTTTTTCTTTTTTCAGAAGCTGGAAGCCAGGGCCCTGCACTTGCTAGGCAAGCATTCTACCACTGAGCTAAATCCCCAACCCCCAAAATCCTATTTTTAACTGACTTGTTATAAATAATTGGATCAAAACAGATGTATATTAAAATTATAAAGTATGCACTACAAATACTACTTTCCAGAACTTTATAAAACATTAGGCATTGTAGAACTGGAACCTTTGAGTGAAGAAATCCCTTATCAAAGACACTGTCCTACTAAAGTGCTTGCAAGACTCCACGTCTTCATGAACAAATGAGGACCGTTTAAGGTTGAGCCTGTTGTTTCTACACAGGGTTGACGCTACCTTTAGAATACACTGAATCATTAATTAAAAGGAAAACAGGTTAACTTCGCTCTACAAATTACCTATGTAAGATAAACTAAAATGTCTTTGCTTCAAGATGAACTCACCTCAAGCTGGACCCTTTGCTCCAGGTTTTTGTACGATCTCTGTAATAACTCCCGGGTCCCCAGGACTCCGTACCACATCAAGTTTTTAGTTCGGCTTCTGAAAAATATTGTTGTGAAACCTCAGGAAATGTTATTTATTTACTCCTTAAAGCAAAAGAGACAATAAATGAAATTAAAGCAAAATTGCCTTCACGTAACAAGATTATCGCCATTCCCGAAATTACCTGCATTTTTCTGGGTGTTCTTCTCTCTTATTATTAAATTCTAATGAAATTTTTGCATCTAATCCAATCCCAAAGTAATTGTTCATGACACATTTTTCTGAGTATCCATCTCTATGATAATAAGGGAAAGCACATAAAAGTCAATTTCAGATGCGTTGCAACACGTCCAGTCTATTTACATGATTACACTCAAAGTCACTTAAGCGTCCATTCTTCCTAGAGGATCAGAAAGCAGAAGTCATTCCCATACACAAGCCAAGTGCGCAAGCACAGTACACGTGCAGAATTCTTGGTCTAAGGTAAAAGCAAAGCAGAGACAGACATTGTTCTGTTGCCTATTTAATTTGGCAGCCATTACCCTTCTGTCTGCCACATACAGCGGTGACTATACAGACCGATGACGGTATCTATGGGAGAGCTTTGAAGCAAGTGTCAACAGTCCTTTTTTTTAATTATGAGACAGTCTCTTCCACTCAACCCATAATAATGGACAAACAGTAAAGGGCAAACTTCTGAATTCAATATATTATTATAAATACTGTTAATACTTGATTTTCTTTTATTTTCATAATTACTTTTTTTATGGAGTGGATGGGTGTCTTACCATGTATGGAGACTGGAAGACAATTCAAAGGATTTACTTCTCTCCTCCCACTACTGGTAAAGGTGCTTGTGACCACATCTGACGGCCTGAGTTCATTCCCTGGGATCCCCATGGTAGAAGGAACAAACTTGACATCTGCAAGCTGTCCCCTGATCTCCAAATACATGCCATGATATGCACACACATGTATGCGTACACACACAGTCCTAGACAATAATAATGATAAGGCCTGGTGGTGGCACACACCTTTAATCCCCAGCACTTGCAGGCAGAGGCAGGCAGATCACTGAGTTCAAGGCCAGCCTTGGTCACATTGGTCTACAGAGTTTCAGGACAATCAGGGCTACACAGAGAAACCCTGTCTCAAAAAAAAACAAAACAAAAACCAAAACCAAAAAAGGGAAAAATTTTCCAAAAAGGACATTTAATAAATGCTGTTCTTGAGAAACGCAGTACAAAAATAAGGTTTGTTTGCTTGGTTGTTGTTGTTGTTGTTTTAAAAAAGAACATTTTTGAGCTAGAGAGACAGGTCAGGTAAATGCCTGGTGGTCAAGACAGTCAGCGTGCAGCCAGCACACACGAGGAAGACACAGGACTTAGAGCAAGTTGTCTATCTAGTCTAGACCAGCCAAACTAACAGGCCAGCTCTGGGGTGCCAGGAGAGACCCTGCCTCAACCAGCAAACAGGATGGAAAGTGGTGAAGAAAGCCTCTCAGCTTCAAACTCTGGCCTCCACACAGAGGCCACATACATGCACCCGTACATACATGGATACATACACGGATACATACATGGATGGATGTGCACGCACACACACACACACACACACACACACACACACACGCGCAAACGCGCGCGCGCACACACACACTCTCACAAAGCATATTGTAAAATGAAAACAAAAGTAAGTATATCTCCCGCTGCCAGAAGTGTTTTTAGGGAGTCTAGAAAGAGGCGAGACCGATGTGGGTGAGAAACTGGGAACAAGGAAACCGCAGCGGGATGTGGAAAGATGGCGGGATTAGTGGGCTGAGAAGAGGAGAAGGCAGGGGGCATGGCGTAGATGCAGGCGCTAACTCGCACTAAGGGAGAGGCAGCAGGGCCGCCCCAGAGGGTCACTGCTGAACAGCAGGTGAGAAAGGGGCCTGCTGCAGGGACAGATCACAGAGCTGGCCATTACCAACTTCTGAGCATGCTCACCACCCTTTCTGCAGATGGAACCGTACACTTTGGGACACATGCAAAATGTCAGGATTTGGACAAAACAGGCAGCAAAAAGTTGAAGCCGAACAACTAAAGTGTTTCTTACAGTGAATCGAGATCCGGGTCAATAAACGGTGTCGCACCAAAAGGGTCAATGTTTGCCAGCAACACTTTGTTGATGATGGAACTCCCGGCAATCGAGGCGGCGAGTCCTGCCCTTAAACCTGACAGAAATACATCAGGGGCACACGTTAAGAGAAAGCAGAGGCAAACCTGGTCCACTCAGAGCCTGGCCTTGTCCCAGACATCTTGTTACCAAAGCCCGTGACCACTCAGGAGCCAACACTCAAAAGAGATGATACTTAGAAACGTGAAGGTCTTATTGTTTCCGAAGGTCTGTATGCTATAATAAATAACCGTGAAGAGAATAACATGAAAAGGAATATCTGTGATATTTTCTCACCTACCATTCAGCAATTCTACAACTTGTCATTTCCAGTGTTTCACTTCCTGGGTTAAATTCATTCCTAAGTGTTTTTGCCATTTTTGGTGCAATTTCAAGGAGAACTTTATTCTTAATTTCATGGTCAGATTGTTCAGTTGCAGTGTATAGAAATATAATGATAAAGGTGTAATTTTTGCATACTGATCATTTACTCTGTAATCTTAGTATACTCGCTTATTAGTTTTAGTGGTTTAGCTTGCTTATGTGCACGTACAAGCATGCGTGCACATGTATGCAACCCTGGGGGTTTTCTATATACAATATCAATCTGGGAAGGTTCACAGTCGTCCTTTCCTTTCCCTGCCTTTTTCCTTCCCTTCCCTCTCCATCCCTCCCCCCTCCTTCCCTTCCCTTTCCTGGCTTTCTGACACAGGGTCTCTCCATGTAGCCCGGTCTGCTCTGGTGTTGGCTAAGTACTACTGTGCTGGAACTCACACAGACCTGCCTGCCTCTGCCTCCCAAGGTGAGTGCTACTACGCTGGTTTTTCTTGCTAGTATTTTATTTCTATTTCTTCCTGAGTGGGGTTTTTGGTACATGTGGTTTTAGGCATTTGCCTGTTTCCTCTGGGTTTATGTTTGCTAGTATTTTATTTCTATTTCTTCCTGAGTGGGGTTTTTGGTACATGTGGTTTTAGGCATTTGCCTGTTTCCTCTGGGTTTATGTTTCCATCAGCATCTTATCTCGAAGCTCCATCAACATGCCTCAAGACTTCTCTCATTCCGGATTTTAGTGATATGAATCTTTACTTGACTTCTTTTTACTTTCTCTGAGTTTTCAATTCTCTTATTTCCACTCTCGTGTTATTATTTGCTTCCCTCTCTTAGTTGTGACCAGTCTGCTCCTGCCCTTGCTTCCCAGGGTGACTATCAGGAGATGGACGAGAGAGAGAGATGGAGATTTTCCAAGCCGCATTAACAGCTACACACTCCACTCTAAGCACATTCCGGCTGCATCACCTAAGTTTCAGGATGGTGTGTTTCTGTTCTCTACTTTATCAATTATCTATTATTTTCTCTAGCTGACTCCCCTACGTGTTTCCACATCTGTGTACTGCCCAAATCTCATTCTCTCATTGGTCCTTTCATCCCACTGGGCTGAGAGTAAGTACTCAAGCAAGAGATCTTGATCCTTTTGATTTTACTGAGAATGGTTTGTGACCAAATTGGCTACGGCCTGTCCCAGAGAATGTTCTACATACTCTTGAGAAGAATGTGTGTTCTCCTGTGGTTGAATGTTCTTTACATGTGAACTCTGTTCCCCATATATTTCCCTGATCATCTGTCTGGTGGTTCTATCACTACTGAAGGGGGGGGGAACCAAGGTCTCTAACCTTATTTGAACTATAAAAACCATTACTTGAATTATAGAGCTCATCTTTAAAAAGAAATTCCATGAGAAGCTACTTTTCAGGTCTAAATGCACTCCAGCAAACGAAGATCAAAGGATTTTTACAACCATCACAAATTTAGGAAGCTCCAAGACACACATACTTCCTCCAGCTCCTTAGGAAGCTCTGAGACATATTTTTTTTCCCCTCCAGCTTCTATCTATAGTCCCTGGTGTCTACTAGCCTAATCCAAGGTAAACTCATTTCATCAAAGTTGGAATGGCTACGAGGCTAGAAATTTCTGCAGAGAAAGAGGTGGCTGACAACCACAAGGAGAGCAGTAGAGGTGCTCAAAGGTCAGAGAATGGAAGGAAAGCTCCGTTTCAGAGACAGAAAGTAACCTGGGACTCCTGAGCTCCAACCCAGAACCAAAGGACTAACATCTCTCAGGGCAGGGCCCAGAAGCATGTGTTTGAAGATGCCCTATGCAGTGAGACGTGGATTACTCTAAAGACCTGGATTTCTATGACTAAGTTTGGCAAGAATATATCATGTCACACAACTGTACTACCTGGGCAGATAATTCTGGTGTTGAGCACAGGGAGATTTTCTTTGGTGGTGGTCACAGTTGAACCAGCGGCAGAATCCGTTTGGAAATGACCACGACTTGCCTGGCCATCAGGAGACTGAGATGAGGATTTGGCTGTTGACAAAATATCCAGATTAAAAATGGCAAATGAAACCAGTATAAAATTGAACAAGCCCCTATAAACTCAAGACACACAACAACCACCAGATGCCTATTTAAATCAATGAGTGGAATTGAAGATGTTCATATTTACCTTCATTTCTCATTTTATTTTCATTTCCTTGAGGCATTTGGAGAGTATCTACCAAGGGAAATACATTGATCTCTGGCTTTGAATAGACGCTACCAGAACATAGATATCTACTATCATTAAAAGTCAATAATATGCTTAATTTGAAAGTAATCACCTCACACTGGATAAGTAGAAAATTTAAAGTCTAGTAAGCATTATGATGCACACTACCAACATTACCTGCTACTCATGAATATTGGGTAAACGATCCCATTTAAGGAATGACTCCCAGCAGAACACATGAATATATGTGAAACAGGCGCTAATACAGTCTTCAGTTAGTGGAGACCCTTGGCTGGGACTCAGATCAGTGCATCATTTAACCCTCATCAGAAAAGGTTCTTCTTGCAGAACACGGCATTACCAGAGACCTACAACTAGACGATGGGTGGAGAATCGAAGACTGCGGCACATTCAGCCCTAAATGAGACAGCTTTACCGAGCTCCTTCCCTGCAGGCACAGGGGCTAGACAGAAGAGAAGGCGGACAGGGTCTAAGAGTCAGAGGAGGTGGATGGTTCCAGACACAGTACAGCTGATACACACATGAACTCAAAGGGAGGAGACATCATATATGAAACCCGCATGAGTTCAAATCAGGCAAAACACCAAGATGAAGAAGGGGAAGCAGACACAAAGTCCCACCTCTAACCACAAGCCATTTACAACTGATGTTTGGTGGGAGAAAAAAATCAGTTTTCTCCAGTGGAGTGTCGCTGGGTCTATCAGCCACATCCAAGGCAGGTTCCAGGCCCAGGAGGAGGTGGTCAACACAGAACAGAACTTTGTGTGTATGTGTATGTGTGTGTGTTGTGTGTGGTGTGTTGTGTTGTGTGTGGTGTGTATGTGTGTGTGTGTGGTGTGTTGTGGTGTGTGTGTGTGTGTGTGTGGTGTGTGTATGCTTCTTGTATTTTATTCCTTTTATTGGTTTGTTTTGATCTTTGCTTTTATTAGGGGGGAGGAGGGAGGAAAGGATGTTTTATTGGCAGGGAGGGGTGAGTGAAGAGAGGGAGAGACCATGAAACTTGGTTGGGGAGGATCTGGGAGAAGCTAGAGGAGGGAAAAGAATACGATCAAAATATTTGATTGTAAAAATACTGTTTGTTTGCTTTTTCGATACAGGGTTTTTCTGTGTAACAGCTCCGGTTATTCTGAAACTCACTTTGCAGACCAGGATGGACTCGAACTCAAGAGGTCCATCCGCCTCTGCCTCCTGAGTGCTGGGATTAACAGCATGCGCCACCACCACCCAGGTGCAAAAAAAATACTTTTAAGGAAAAAAAAGAAAAGAAAAAAGAAATTGAATGGAAAGATACCACTTATCTTCCAATAAAACAAAGGACTTTCCTTGCCATCATTTATTCAAATGATGCTAAGCTCCAAATGGTTTTGTTACTTTCTTGTATAAACTCAATACAGTTAAAAATATTCAAGAAAATAACAAAAAGATTTAATTCTATCTGAGGCAAGTTAGTGAAGGAAAAACAGCACCTTGATCTAATCTAGAGGCCATCAATAGGTATTAGAAAAAAACCAGTCGTCATTAAATTCAATTTAAAAGTACTCTAAAACTTAATTATCTTCACTTTCCCTCGAACTAATTACAAAGCTAACTGTATTAATCTTGCACAAACCTAACAGAAGCCACTCTGTTGTGTGTGACTGATGGGGATTCTGGGGCTGATCTCTGACACAAAGCACCTTTTGATGTTCACGTCTGATAAAAAGCAGAAAGTGCACCAATGACTAAGATCGATGCTTCAGTGCAGAGAATTCAATTAGTTCTTCATGTTTCCTCCTAAATAAAGCATCACCTTGAACACATTAATAGCCTGTTTTTCTCACATCTCAGACATCCACTGCATAATTGAATAACGACACAATATGGATGATTCAATAAAAAGTAATGATCACTGAACACAGGAACACTTCTATTGCCAATGGTTTTCAGTAAGTTGGATTACAGGCAAAATTGCCGTCAAATGTGGCAACATTAAAGGCTTTCCTAAATCTCTGTTGACCTCTCTACTGAGCACTCTGATAGTTTCCTTCAGCCTCCTGTCTAACTGATGGGAATGCTGGGTTCATGAGAGTATGGTAAAGTGGAAGGATGGCTGGCTGGAAGCCACGGGCAACAAGTGTGCATGACGTATAGATACCCTGCTACTGTGCTAAGTAGTTTTTAACAGATGAAAATGTCAAAGGCCTGATGACCAAATTCACGTATAAAGTACCCTGCAGATGGCAGAATAAAAAGATTTTAGTAGGTGAAAATGATAGGCCCAAATAAAAAAAGATGAAGGGTTAGAAAGATGAGGAAAAGTTATTGCATTAAGCTTGAAAAGAGATTCCGTAGTCTGGGCGACATCAAAACGTGATGGATGAGTGGCATGACTATCTATGCTACTCCCCTACAGAAAACACCGGGAGTTTGCTCAGAACATTCCAAGACAGACACTGACCAAATGGATGCAGCCAGAAAAACAAACAATTTGAAACCACCACACTATAGATGAGTGGAGGAAGCTACGAGACACCAGATGTGAAGGAAGACATCAGAGGTAGCAAGGAGACATGACCCTGTAAAAGCCTTTCATAGCATCATTAAAGGACTGCCATAGGGAAGCAGGGGGAGACACAGCCCCACAAGATTCATCTTGGAAATCTTGGAACTGATAAAATACCGTGTGGGGAATTAGACCAATCATAAAAATCACCTTACAAATGCCGGAGTTCATACTGCTAACATCAATGATACATAAAATCCATTAATAGCTACCATCAGGGGTTGAATTTTAAGGCAGGAAAACAAAGGTCATAATAAACAATAATCTAACAATTCAAACTCGAGAGAGAAATGTACTAGGAGCGAATGGCCTGAGGGGTCAACGCCATCTGTGAGGACAATTTCAGAATTTGCCCGTAGATATGGATGCTGAGTATCTGAGCTTCACAGAAACTAATTTCGATTTAAGAGCCTTAAGTACAATCAAAAAAAATTTTCTCAGTCAATAATAATAATAAGGCAATAATGATAGACAGCAAATGTTTATAAAACACTGCATAGCAGACACAATCCTGGGCACTTTTTGTACAATAATTGGCCAACTTTCAGTGCAAGCAGATTAAAATAGTGTATTATTATCTTCATTTTTACAGGCAGGAAAACTTCAAAAAAATCTAAAATCAATCAATCCAAGCTTGAAAACAAAATCTTAAGAAGCTATAAGAAGAAACAGTTCTGATATATCCTGTTGACTTCTTGAGTACATGATAATTACATTCATTTATTAATATTATACTATTAATATAATAATATTATACTATATACATTATTAATATTATGCTAATATACTATCTCATTTATTAATATTATACCTTCTGCTTATATTATCCAACAGTAATTACAAGCTTTTCACCTATGTGAAATACTAAAAGGGCAAATTCATTTCCTATCAAAAGCCAAAAGGCAAGGAAACCGTTAATAATTTTAAAGCGATCATATAATCATTTCTAGGCAAAAATAATTTGGTAAAGAAAGGGTTGTAATTAGAACTCTTGTGACTTTTAAAGCTTCACCAAACACAAATATTGGCTGATCAGCAAAATATGAGAGACTGAACTTGGGCGTGTGAGATCAGCCATTTTCCCAGGAATCTAGGACTGGGAACCTTGGGTGTTTTTCTAAGACACTTAATCACTTTTAGTCCACAGTGCTTCGTTTATTATTAGTCTCTAGAGTACACAGGAGAGAAGAGAATACCTGACAAACCTACCTGACCTTTTTCCTATTATTTTAGTGTTCATGAATAACATACATTCCCCAAAAGACTTTCGAAGAATAAAAATTCGACAGTTTGCCTCCAACTGAAAGCTACACGCAAAGGTACTTGTGACTGATCTCGGACCGACACCATCAGCTTTCTCACCTGCGGACAACTCTTTCACATCATCATCTTTAGATTCATCCGTTTCTGTGCTGTCATGGTCACCAGACTGACTGACGGCTTCACAGGGGTGAACTGTCTGCTCATCCATGACTTTAAGTAGTAAGAAGGGAAACAGATTTGTGTAAGTGAAAACATTAAGACACGCTTAGGAAGGAAAAACTGAACCAAGTATCAAAAGAAACTCTACATTCATAAAGAAACATTGCTTAGTAACAAAACGGTGAGCGATGTCTGTGGATACCAAATAAATCTGTGAAGGTTATATATTTACCAGAACAAAATTACATATGAAAAGCAAAGCAAAATACACAGCTCGACTGATTACAAGTTACACACCTAGGAGGTGATTCCCAACATTATTTGTTTTGAAGTCAACTTTCATCTAGTTGTAAAAATGTAAGCAGCATTTACCTTATACTCAAAAAAATTTAGATCTAGGTGCTGGACACATGACTAAGAGAGAGGAGCACAGAATGCTCTTGCAGAGGACTCAGGTCCGGTCCTCAGCATCCACACCGGGCAGCTCCCAACTGCCTCCTAGCTCCATCCCAGAGGATCCAATGCCCCCTCCGGCACCTGTGCTTCCAAACACACACCCACACACAGATACGCACCCACAGAATTAAAACTAAGAAGTAACCCTTTTAAAATTCAGATACAGATTTACACATTCTTAAACATAAACCACATTAAGAAATCAATGCTAAGAATCTATTGTCTCTATTATCGGCAGCTACCGGGTTGATTTTAAGAATTAAAGAGAAGCCAAAAAAGTAAGAAGATTGAATTTTTCAGACTTGTTTTATAAGCTATTATTCTACTCAAGTTGGGATGGAAATACTGCAACTGAATTTACTTCTGAAATCTGATTTTCTGAGTCACTGCTATGCTGATCGCACTGCTGAAAGGGCAGACAGGACTAAGTTCAAATTTCCCACTAGCGACCTTATTGTCTTCTACCATGAGACCCTTTTTCCTCAAACGTGTACCGAATCCGAGCATTATGCACACTGGTTATGCTTGCAGCAGGGCTGTTGCCGGCCTCTTTGGAGCTAATTTTGTGTGTACCTTTTCCAGCTTCTTCAATGACTTGCCTCACTGCCTTCTTGAGACTGTTTGCGCGCAGCATTATTTCCCGGGGTTTCACGCCTTTCTGGGAGGAGGGTTTGGCAACGTCATTCACAAGCTGGTCCTTGCTTTCACCCAAGGACTCCTCACTGGAGGACTCCACGGCATCCTCCTCGGGGATCGCAGGGCCGACCCCTGGGGGCACCCGACTGGCCTGAGCGTCCGCGTGCAGGGCTTGCAGCAGCTGTTCGAGCTTCTCATTTAGAACTGAGCACTGGGAAAACCAACAGAACATCAATGACGGCAACAAGAAAGTACGCAGATAGCAATGACAGCGATGAGGGAGAAATTCAAACACATTAGGCTGGTAGACACAATATAAGATGTGTTTTTATGTAAGATAAATCTGGAATGTTTTAAATCATTGGCAATGAAAACACCAACATTCAAGAAGCTACGGTATTTTCTTCTGTAGATGTTTTGGGTGGAGAATATATTTATTTTCAACTTAGTGAAGACAAAAAATGATCTTTAAAGGAGTGGCTCTTAAGGTCCAGAAATGCTTACTATTAAGTGACTGATAGAGACCTACTGTGTGAAATACTGGAAGCAGAACCCTGTCGACTACCTCTCGATTCAGACTTCTGGATCACTCAAAATCTCTTAGGGTTTAAAGACTTTTTAGAATGGTATTTTATGTACACGAGAGTTTTGTTAGAATGCATGTATGCACACCATGTGTGTGTGTGGTACCACAAAGCCAGAAGGGGATCTCAGGTCCCTTGGGACAGGTGTCATGGATGGTTGGGAGCTGCCATGTAGGTGCTAGATACCAAACCTGGGTCCTCTGCAAGAACAGCCAGTGCTTACGACCTCTGAGCCATGTCTAGGCCCCGCAGGTTCAAATCCTTACAACCTACGTCAAACTGCTGCTCTTCCTTAGAATGCAACCAATACTAAGCTGGAAGAGATGCAGTACACAAAAACACCAGGCTATGTTTAAAGTCACTGACTTGGGGCTCCCTTTTTAGCTTCAGGAGTGGCAGGCATGGCTGAGCTGAAGCTCTGTAAGTGCCGACGGCACTCTGAGGTCCCAGAAAGAGCAAGAAGGAAAATGTACAGGAATAAAAAGGAAAGGAAGGGGGATGCAGAGAGAAATGCACAGAGGTCTTTGTTTCTCCTACTTTTCTACAGGTAAAGAGACATCTGGGATCAAAACTGTTACTGCACCTTTGGTCTTCATAGAACTCTTGGTCCATCCCCTTTCTTTCCGTGTCTTTGATGATAAGCCACGGCAAGGCCACAGTAGAAGGACTTCAGGAGCAAACGTGTGGCTAAGAGGGAAATCCCACCTACTGAAACTGTCCATAGGGATGGAAATGATCTGAATCCCACAAGGTTTATTTCAGTGCTGGGTTAATTTTATACCCTGCCACTTTGCTGGAAGTATTTATCAGCTCTGAGCATTTTGGTAGCATCCTTAGAGTCTTCTGTAAAGAATCACGACATCAGGCTGGAGAGGTGGTTCAGTGGTTAAGAGTGCTGGCTGCTCTCTCAGAGGTCCTGAGTTCAATTCCCAGCATCCTCACAGTGGCTCACAACCCTAACGGGATCTGGTACCCTCTTCTGGTGTGCAGGCATACATGCGAATAGAGAACACTCAAATATGTGTGTGTGTATACATATATATGAGTATAAATAAATAAACATAAATAATTTTTTTTTAAAAAGAATCCTAACATCTACACATTGGGACTGTGATCAGCTGTGAGTGGGACAGCTACATCAACCCTACCCCAAGCCCCAAGGTTCTGGGAATATGGCAGAAGAAGTGGGTAGAAAGAATATAGGAGATGGAAGATAGGAGGAGTGATGTGGCTTCTAGACATGACATGACTGTACACACATGAACTCAGCAGCTGTGGTCAACTACACAAGACCTGCACAAAAGCAACAGTTAAATATTCCAGCACTGAGGCCAGGAGGGCTCTGGAGGTCCCACGCCTGGGCTAAGGACCTGTGGGCAGCTGGTGACTCCTTGGTGGGGAGAGTCAGTTGTCTTTAGGACTGTGGCCATGGATGGACTTCCCCAGGCCCCAGAGGATGACCTCACCCCCACGTCCACAGGAGCAGCACTAACCTGACTCTGTGGGTTAAAAAGCTAATTATGAAAGGGCAGGAAGTGGGAAAGGAGAGGTGGTGGGGATGCGGGGCCCGAGAGGAGTGAGGGGTGGATATGATCAAGATACAGTGCACACGGGTATAACATTTTCAAAGATTAAATAAAAATTTAAAGAAAAAAGTTTATTTCCACTTTCTTTTTCCTCCACTCAACCCATTCGTTACAGTATGAACTGAAGAGGGAGACATCCTTCCCGAGCCAAAGCCATGCAAACTTTATGTAAAAAGGACCTCTCGTGAACCTGAGCAGTAAAGACTGTAAAGTCAGTGTGCTGCTCTTAGCAGCAGAAAGTTCACCGAGGGGGAAGAAGTCTGTAAAGGCACGAAAAAAGTCACAAAAGAAACAGAACTTTGAAGGAGACAATGACTGGCATGGAGAGAATGGAGACTCTTGCTGGGAGGATGCTGAACCACCAAATCATGTCTGACATGGAGAGCCAGGCCAGACCCAACGGGACCACTGGTCCCACAGCATCTTCCCCTGTCAGGTTGACAGTGCGTCCCTCTACCATGCCAATCGCTGTGAAAGGGATGTGAATCATAAAATTTGGTTTGCTGAATCCTCTCCAGCAATGCAGCTTTTATGCATATTAAAGGATAGCCATAAACCAGAAGATGTTTTTGTACATTCTCACATCTAATTTAAAAAAAAATCACTTTTCTCTTTAGCTAGTTTGGCAAGAGCACACTGGGGCAGTCTTTAAAGGCACAGCGCAACACTCATGATGTCAACCAACAACGGGCATGCCCATGACGTGTTCCCCTTACTTTACTGGCCACGGCTTCGGCTACTACTGTATTTTCCAGTGTTTTGTCCTGTGCCTTCTCCACTTTGGCAACGAAGTCCCTCACGGTTTCACAGAGGATCCTTTGAGGAAGAGAAATCACACAGTTCAGTCAGTGTGCTCTCATGTACAGACATTTGTAAGCGAGTTACAAGGAAGCAAACTCAAAATATTCAGGATCATTTTTACACAAGACCATACTTCCATCTGTGTTAATATAGCTCAGATACATTTAGGACTTCCTAAGTGAAAAGGGATACACGAATAAGCCTCATTCTCCATACTTATCATAACACTGCAGTGAATCGTTCACGCTCAAATCAGTCTTACAAATAATTCTTTCAGATTCCCTAAGAATAATGCAGTATCTTCCAGAGCTTAGGAGTTTCTTTTCATGTAGAACAGACACAAGTTCTCCACTGTCTACAGGATCTACTGGACCTACTAGTCAGCAAGAGGACAGCTTGGTAGCACATTGCTCCTGAAGAGGAACGAGCTTGTGCATTGTTACCAATCAATCAGACACTCGAATTGAGTTATGTTCCCTGTAAACCCATCCATTTTCCCCCCTTAAGATAACCAATACAATAATACATAAGCCTAACCCAATTGAGATCTTATTAGTGTCAGCAATATACGGTTTACTTGTTTGTTTCTTTTAATTACATTTGGTATCTTTGCAAAAGAAATTATCTAAAAGAAAAAAAAAACAGGGCACAACATGTCTGCCTCTCAAAAAGCTGCACAGAAAAAAATGACCAGCAAAACGGCATATGCATAGTAGATTGGTTTTGGCAACATGTGTACATTGATAGAAACATCTTGAATGGAAACCATTTCTATCACTGATAGAAATTAAAGAATTTAGGGAAAAAGATAAAAATGTTCCAGTAAGCTTTTTTTCTATTAATTTTACAACTTTCTCTGGTAAGTAATAATGGCAGCTTCCAGATGCTTCAATATTACAAAAATCAAACAATGCAAATCGAGCAGGCACATGGTACATGGTACATGCATATGCACCCACATATACTCCAGGCCTTTGAACTGGTCATCTAAGCGTATTATTGCTAACAATTTTTGTTTTATTTGTTGCCTAGGGGTTAAATTCGCTAGCCATCTATCCCTTGGTCTGCTTCCTGATGTCAGGAACAGAACCCAGGCCTCACACATGTTAAGCAAACACCCAGCCACTGAGTTACAGGCACAATTCTCTTGGCATTGGCTAACATTTCAAATTCCAGTTTTTGTTCTCTATTTATCTTTAAGATTTAAAAAATTATGATTGTGTGTGCTTGCATGTATGTATGTACATGTACAACACCCATGCAGTGACCAAGGAGTGGAGAAGAAGGTGTCAGACCCCCGGGACTGGAGTTACAGGTGGGTGTGAGCTGTGGTGGGGGAGCTGGGAGGCGAACTAGAGTCCTCTGAAGAGCAACAGACTCTGAAATGTTGAGTCATCACTCCATCCCCCTGAACTCGAATTTTTAAGGGAATTAAGAGAGTGTAGTTTACCATTTATTAGAGACTCATCCATGGACTCCACATACAATTATTATTCTTTGTTAATCTATACTTCTATAGAATTTCTTGAAACATGATGCCAGGATAACATGACATTTCTTGTGTAAGAAGCTGAAGGAAAGGCCTGATCCTCTATACCTTGGGTCTAGGGGGCTGATGCACTGGTATGTGAGTTAGAAGAGTGGCTGGTACTGAAACTGTGGGACTAATCCGAAGAGATATTCTGCCTTGTGCTCCTGTGGTTCCCCACTACAAAAGGAATCAGGGCTCTTTAGACTCTGGAGGAATGAACTGATCTAAGCAGTGAGTTTAGAGTCTCTATAGTGAAGCCTATTTATTGTCAGGTGGGCCAGGTGTGAAGGTCTGCCATCTTATCGACTTGATGCAGGAGGCGTCTGGCTTCGAAGATTGCCTGGAACACAGCGAGTTACAGGCAGTGTCCCTTTAGGCTTTCTACAGACATACATCTGATCACAGAGCAAGGCTGGCAAAGTCAAATATCCACTGAGGCCAGGGAAGTAATAGGTGGGTTGAACCCAGGACGAGAGAGGCACAAGTGCGTTGAGGCCTGAGCAATCTGAAAACGGCTCCATTTCTGGAAGCAACACAATTCACTGAACAATCACAAAGCAGCCGGCAGCTCTGCCCAGTGTGCTCGCCTGAAGCCATTTCCCTTTCCTCCTGTCCTTGCTGCGTCCTGTTCCCGGGGAAGCCATCCGCAAAAGCAGTTGTTCCTATGTTTGCATTCCTGTCAGAAGGAAACTTGTTCGTAGTGACTTATGTTTCTTCTTCATTACAAATTACGTATGTAATCAACCAAAATTTGCATTCTCCTCGGTTTTCTACTGTCTTCTGTCCCTCGGCCCCATCTTTTCCCTTCACTTCCTGTATAATAGTAATATACTCACTGAGCAGGATCTTAAAACGCATTCCATCACCTGTGAGTTGACTATTTCAGCTGGTTCCATCCCCTTCCCCAGCTGAAGTATCGGATACTTCAGAAGTAAATTCGAAATTCCACATTTGGGATAGCAACATTATGAAGCTTTGGCTCTATGCATGGAATTAACTTAACGAAAATCTGATAACTTTAAACTAAAATATAATTATGTGATCTAAATATACTGAGAAATGTCATTTTGAAGAATCTCGTTTTTTCCTTTTAGTGATGCAATAAGCTGTTGCTAAATACAAATGTGTGTGTGGGAACTAATAAATATAATGAGATAGGATTTCCATGTTATAATTAATCATTGATACTTTCCAAACAGACATTTAAACTCTAAATACTTTTTACACTTTCCTGAAAAAAAAAAAACCTTCAAAAGAAGCAGCAAAATATATTGCCTCTGAAAAGACTCCACGCAGGTGCTTGATGTGACGAGAAAATCAAGTTCAAATTCTCGTACTTAATCCTTTAAGCTCCTTCTCATATATTACTAAGGAAAACTACCAGCGATGGTGTCACAGCCAGGAAACACCCTTCCCTTTCATGTTCTCGGGGAACGGTACTTTCTTCGCGTCAGCCCCACAACTCACTTGGCAGACGATATGACCACCGCGTGTTCATCAGAATTGAGGATTTTCGTAAGGTGATTGGCAACTGAGTCTTCATAAATCGCCATCTGGAAAAGAAAACTCTACGTTATATGACTGCTGCGGACATCTTTACAACCCAGTTATGACTGCTTCAGAAATGTGCTGTTCATACACATACAAGAATGTCAGGAAAAGTGTGGGGGAGGCAGCAACGGCTGTCATTCAAAGTGGGGGCTCATTGTACAAAAGTGTGTGTGTGTTGGGGGGTCATTATGCAAAGTTTGTGTAGGGGGGCATTCATTATACAAAGAAAACTTCCCCTGGCTCCTATTTTCAGGTTCTGGAGTTCCTTACGTATTTAGGAAATCCAATAAAACTCCATTAATTTTTTGAAATTTATATATAAATGAATTATATAGAAATATAGCCTGACTATAAGAAGCATTACTTAAAATAAATACAGTAAAAGCCAGACTAGTGCATATAAAATATAGACAAAGACCTAGAAATCCAAGTAGAACGGCCCAGTGATTGACATTCCGTTTCCTTGCGAACCTGGAGACTACAAACTGAAAACACACAGAGAAGAGCTAAAAGCAAACAGCAGCAAGCGGGAGCCTGACAATGGCGAAGCATGAGGGCGATGAAAAGCTCTCCTACATAAAAACGGATAGGTCCTAGGAAGGTGCTGGATACTGTCTGCTAGAGTTGAACACAGGCCTAACACTAGAGGGCCGAGAAACTCAAGTCCTACGTAGACACCCCAGGGAAACAGGTGTGTGGTCACCAAAAGGCATGAACTAGATGAGATGTTCGCATGGTGTGAACATAATGTATGTGTCCATGGAAATACTCCAGGACAC